TGAAGTCCGACGAAGTCCGATGAATTCCGGTGTAGTCCGATAAATTCCGATGTAGTCCAGTGAATTCCGGTGTAGTCCGATGAATTCCAGTGTAGTCCGATGAAGTCCGTGAAGTCCGGTGAAGTCTTGAAGTCAGAAGTCCAGGTGTACATATATTTTCTGAGTGGTTACCCCCTCGATATTGCTATAAAAATTGAAAAAATTAATTTCAGATCTCTCGGAATGCTTAATTCTTTTCAACGTCTTGCGCCTTTATTTTTAACCACGCTCCACGTTCTCATTTGGAATTAAACTAGCACTTTTCTGATTTAATTTCAAGTTAAGGAGCGACCCAAAATAGATGGTTTTTTTTCGCCCTCGATTTTGGGACTGGACTATATGCCAAATGATACCTTATAATGAGATATTAATCACGGAGAAATTTCAGGTTGAGATGACAATTATTATCACAGCTGGGGATCACTTATTACGTCTCTTTGACGCAAAAATTCCATTTTTTTTACATCCAAAACTAGCGTCATTTACGTAAAACTGCGACCAACCTTCATCGGCTGGATCGACCTCAAAATACCGAACCTCGCAGAGCTGTGATAATTCCATAACGAATTATTGATTTTATCCTCCCCCTCCCTCTCCTCCAGATCTGATAACAATTGTCATCTCAACTTGAAACTTTTCTATAATGTCTCATTATAAGGCATCATTTAGCACACAGTTTAGTCTCAAAATCGAGCCCAAAAAAACGGACAATTTTTTGGGTCGCTCTTTACGTGAAATTTTTAGTATCAACATCAATATCAATGTTTTTCTCCTTTACAGCTCGTTGCGCAAGTGTATAAGGTGGTGCCTCCGGTCTTGCTGGAGACTGGCAAGGTGAAGAACCCGTGGCCGAATGTGGACGCGCACTCGGGCGTGCTGCTGCAGTACTACGGCATGAAGGAGATGAACTACTACACGGTCCTGTTTGGCGTGTCGCGCGCGTTGGGCGTGCTCGCCTCCCTCGTCTGGGATCGTGCCCTAGGACTGCCCATCGAGAGGCCTAAGTCCCTCAGCACCGAACTCCTCATGAAGGCCGTGAAAGCTTAAGAACCGTTTCTCCACTGGATCGACGATCGATTATCAACAGCGTCACCTCGGAGTCCCGTCGTCCCGACCTCGGCTTCGTTCGAGCGTTCGAGGCGCCGGGAACTTTGATAGGATACATCATTTTGATATCAACCTCGACGGAGACACCTCAACGAGCCCGCGCCTTATCGAGTAAACGAGAGTGCGAATGAGTGTGAGAGAGAAAGAGAGAGAGAGAGAGAACGAGAGTGATAGAAAATGTGCGTGAAACACAAGGCTAGGTATTAAATACGACAAATAATTACGTCTAATAATGTATTATGTAAATGTAGAAATATTAAGAGCAGACACATCAATGTCCCGCGGCGGAGTTCACATTAATTCTCTTTCTGCAGGCGATACTTTTGAACACGTACGACAATAAACAGGCACATTAATCACACATAATTGTATAATTAATATGCGATTATTTAATTATAAAATTGTAATATGTCGTGATTTATAATGTGACTGTTTCGAGTGCATGATTCTTATACGGTATCAATTGCGGGGGCAGGCTTAAACGGGGTGTTCTCGCAACCGTAGCTGCTTATATACAAGTGAAAACGTAGATTGGTCCAATAGTGAAAACTGCCAAAATTGCGCGGAAACCCAAGACAGCGCAGAAAGTCCAGGGGATGGCTCTTAGACGTTTATAAAGTATTGAGATTTTTAGATGACCCTTCTTAATGTCTCTCAGAGGTCTAAAAGACGTCCTCTGGAATTTTTTATTTATAGAAGTAACATACACAAGATAGAGAAACGCGTCAGAAATAGGTAAGGTGATTATTGTAAATAGAGTCATCGCTCAATACAAAGCAAAGCACGTTGGCTATCGCTAGAAATCCCGGAGAAACGGCGCAAAATCTACGATTCGGCGATAATCACCGTGTGTTATAGTCTAGCGACGTGAAGGCAATGATAAAAAGGCAGGAAAATATATAGTGACTCTTATTCGTCGCGTGAAACTTTTAGATTCATTGTATAAGGAAGGCAAGTTAAACGTTCAAGGAACATCGAGGCATCTAAAAAGATATAGTCTAATTCAGATCGGACGTCATTCTGATAATTTTTTTTGTGTGTTTCTGACACCTTTTCATTGTTCAGGATAGTGCATATGTGAATTAGGTATTAAAAACCGTTTCGTCTTGCCTCGTTATACGAGAGATGACACTGCCCCCTCCCCCCGAGTGTGTATCACACATTTCTCTTTCGATCGGGTTGGATTTCTTTGGAAATTGATCGGATTTTCGAGCGGCAGAAAGCGGGTATTATCGAATTTTCGCGATTTTAGAGGGATAGATCAGTTTCAAAGGCAATAGAAAAAGGTAACGGTACGCCGAAAGGCGAATCGTGCCATTAGCTCAGACGTAAATCTCCCGGCCGTTAGTTTACACTGTCCTCCCCACCTCCGCTCTCAGGAAGTTCATTCTAACTACTATATTGTTTTTAGAATGGTAGAGAATAATCTCGCGCTGTTGTGCGAGTTGCAGTAGCTGCGGAATACTTAACAGCAAGCGAGCAATGACGCAGAGAGTGATCGAGCATACTTAAAAAAATAGCGTTTATAGCGTTTCTCGTCGAAACGGAGACTTAAGCTTTAAACACAATAAAAAAGGAATAGGGAACAGGCAACAGAGAATATAAGAATTTCAACCTATCGGAAAGCGTATACTACTGGAATGCACGCGGTTTCCTGATAGGTTGACAATCTTATTCCCTGTTAGCCAAGTTTCCCTCTAATTCCTTTTCATTGTGTTTTAAGGCTTTACTCGGTCGGCATTACGACGAGAGAAACCGCCGCGATTCAGTGTAAAATTAAGGAGCATGACCAGTGGTAGACCCACTGTTATAAGAATGAATGAGTGTGTGTGTGAACATACCTTATTTATAACGAATGTGAAAATAAAAATGGATCAAAAGGCAATCGTGGCTGACAAATCTTTCCTCCTTCGGGGACTCAGGACTTCACGGAACTTGTATTGTTAGCATCGCAAATGTGTCACTCGGAATATGCGTAACTCCGTAAGCCCGCTGATATCTATCGCTGAGCATTCTATCGAAATGCCGAAAAAAAGCTTTGGATATATATATATTATATATATATAGGGTTGCCACAGACCTGGAAAACAGGGAAATTTAAACTAGTTAAGGAAAACCTAGAAAAATCAGGAAAAGATATAAAAGTCTGGAATTTTGAATTTTGCACCTTAAAAGGGATCCACCCAGATTTTGTAACTCTTAACGACAGTTCGGTATATTTTTTGTATGTATTGCCTTTTCTGATTTGAAAATTCTTTTCCAGATTTAAACAATAGAAAGTAACAGAATAAAATGATTTTGTATGAAAATCGAAAAAAATACAACTGAATTTTCCGTTGCTCGGGGACCAGACAAAAACTCAGTGGTAAGAGCAAAAAGATTCCTGTAGACATTTCTTTAATATCGCTAAATATTCAGAATATTTTCGATCGCGATAACAGAGAGAAGTCTCGAACAAA